ATTCTGACAGCATAATAACAGTGAGTCAAAATAACAATGAACTTTATTAAGATGTTACAAATGTTCATGTAGACCTCTTGTACTGTCTTCCTTGATTGTGAACAGCTGGTTTAAAACATTGGTTACTAAGAAATCTAGGAGTGTGAACAGAGGCACCAGTATTAGAAAAAAAAAGATTAAAAACATCAGAACGTCTTTATTTTACTTGCTAATCTGAAGTTGGACAAAAGGCCCTTTTTTAAATTCTTTTGTCCTGACAGTAAACACTAGATCTTGGTTATCACATCAAAAGGAAGTTGGAAAGGGATGATGGTAATAACTGTATAATACAGTCCAACCCCATACAAGTTACTTTCTGTCTCAAGTTGGCTTCTAATGCCATTTTAAAAATGACAATATCTAGAATAATGGGTAAAAGTTAAAAAACTATTGTCTGTTGAATTTTACCATGGCCCATAGGAGCCTACGCATGGGTCTTTTAGACGTCCCTTAATATGCGAAAACGACATGCACGGCCACCGTATCTATTTCGTATGTTAATAAGTAGCGGAATTGACAAGGCCTGTGGTGAATTAATCTTTTATTGTGGATTTTTGAGCTTCAATAGTTATAAAACTCGAAATTCACATGGTCATGTCTTGTCCGTCATTCACTGAGACCCATAGATGCGAAATTGACCAGACCCGCGCTGCGTTTGTCTTAGGCTTCGTTCACATGCAATGTCTATTTTCTAATTTCTATTTTCTATTTGCGCTATCTTATGATCACGGTTTGTGCCCTGAATATCCCGCCGCGTAATTACTGGCAGCGCGAGCCAGTTACTTATAGTAACTTATAGTAACTGGCTCGCGCTGCTAGTAATTACGCCGCGGGATATTCAGGGCACAGAGCGTGATCATAAGACATACCGCGAATAGAAAATAGAATTTAGAAAATAGACATTGCATGTGAATGAAGCCTTAATACAGTTTATTTAAACACGCCTTTTTAAAGATTTTTCTCACAATTTTGAGTTTTCCTCATGCATCCATTACTTTACCCATGTGTAGATTATTGACCCTGTGAATATGAGGCCATTTTCAGTCCACAGAGACAGTTTAAGCCAACACAGCTTGGATACGAATGATCTTGAAACCAATGAAAGTGGGATGGGCATGTTCAATTTAGCCAATGATGGGCAATGCTTTGACCAACAACTCATTTAAAAGGTCCTAAAGAATCCTAAGGGGCTCCTCAGAAGTGTTATCATTCAAATACATTCTTTGAGCACATTTAAAACAAGTAAATCCGCTGACTTATAGATCTGTGGATCAAATATGGCCGACCCACTTAAAAGGAAGCCACATATAGTCCCCTGATGGTCTTCCCGCCTCCACATGTGCTGTTCCTGCAAGGGCCTAGCAGTTAAACATCAGAACCAAGATGTAATCCATTTAGTGGAGGCAGTGAGACCATTAAGAGATTAAGCAGCTTCCTTTTATGATAGGTTGGCCATATTTAGTCTGTGGATCAGTAAGTCCACAGATCTGTTCTGAATGTGCTATTTCATTTATTACCAGTTTACCTAAAAAGCTGGAGGGTTAAATTTTGCACTAAATGAAATTTTATGATCAAGAGTTTGGTGTGAATGATTTATGGTTCAGATGGAACTCTCTTACACTTAGATTTTACCAATTCCCAGTGCATATCTGTTTTGTTGAATGTATTTTAGGTCTGCTTTTCTAAACCCAGCTTTGTTTGTATTGAAAAATTAAGTTCTGCATCCCAGAGTCATTGAGTTGGCCCAAGTTTCCTGTCCTCCACCCTCTTAGTGTTCCAGATTTTGAGAAGTTTCCAACAGATGACTGAAAAGCATGAAATATATGCTTACCTTCTCTTTTGTATAAAAGATCAATATGAATGTGTGATTGTCTTTTTGATTTATGACAGAGGTGTAGGAAACATGAGAATCTGAACTCGAGTAACATGAAACAAAAGAGAAAAATAAAGAATAGTTCCAGAGACATATGCTGTTTTGATAATGTCCATCAGTTTATTGCAAATGTCAGACACTATTCATCCAGCATGAATATGCCATTTGATGTTGGACCCATCTCAAGAAAAGTTCGAGATAACATGGAACGGGATGTCAGTGTAATTGAGCTATCTTCTTTAACTGTAATTAGTTAAACAATTGTTTGAGATAGAATACTGGTGGTAGCGGCCTACCTCAGTCTTTTTTAATGGAAAAAAAAGATGAAATTAAGACTTAGGTTTGTGATACATGACCATCATTCTGTCTGTTGTTATTTTCACTCGGGGTATTTTTACTGGAAAACAACTTGACCAGTACTACAATACAGTATGTGATTTAAATGACAGAAATATATGTTTAGCCTTAGGTGGACCAGGTACTATATCAGAAATATTGAAATTCTATATTTTTATTTGTTGTTTTTGTAAACCTACAAACTCTCAACTAATGTACAAACTATAGTAAATGGTGCCTTGTTTACTTTGGTACCACTTCAAATACAAATGAAATTCTACACGGCTGTATATATCTTATTGGGGCTATAAATACCATTCTCACTTTGTTTAGAGGGTCCCATTTAGATATCACTTGATCTTTAACAACAATAAAACGAGGAATAATGCTCTCAGGTGAACACCACTTTGTATAATATATATACTTGCCAAGTTGGTCATGAGAAAAAGTTTTATTTTCTTTATTATCAACAATTTTATTTTATATGTCACTTATCTTTTGTGTTTTGTGCATAGCAGGTCTGTTCACTAATTCACTAATTCACTGTAGTGATGCCTAATTATGTAGTGTACCAATAAGGTTTGTTGGGTCCACTTGTTTAGATTTTAAAAGCTTCAACTAGGAAAAAACTTCAAGAATGAAAAAAATGGTTAATCTTTTAAGACATACTGAATTGACCTTTGATGTCATCATGTCAGGAAAACCAAAAAACACAGAGGGCAAGGTAAGACCTTCCAATAAACTGACATAATTAACAGGCTTAAAATAGCGTTTACAAGTATGCTTGATTAAGAATAAATCTTCCAATTGAACTGGATTCAATTCGATTCCCAGGTTAAATTTCCTCTTGTCCGTGTGCCACTGTTCCCAGGACACAGGGTAACCTAACTCGGCCAGAATTTTGTACCACCTATCGCTATATCCCTTGGCTCTTCACTTCAAGGGTTATTATAGTGAGACTTGATATTTTGACACAGGGAGGAGTGACCCATTGTATTGACCCCTATATTGGTCATTGATATGTATGCTTTGCTATGTGTCAATTCTGGGGACATCTGACTGTGGTGTCCCCATATTTCTGAGGTAGACAACAAGAACGGGTGTTATTGAATCATGAAGGGTTTTTGAACTTTCGCAATATCAGTGTACAATCTGCACAGCATATTATCTGAGTAGTATCTGAAAGAAGGACAAAAACCTCAAAGGACAGCTCTTCCTGTTGTTATTGGTTTAAGGTAAAGTGAATCAGAAATCTATTATTGTCCAGATGTGGGAAGAAAAACTAATTCTTTGCATTGCAAGTTTTTTTTTTATCATTTATACAGAAGCAAACCTTTGTTTTTTGGGTTGTTATTAGTTCTAGCTTATTTTTAAAGTACAGTCCATATCAATTTTAAATATCTCTTTGATAAGGAATGGAATTACAGTGACAGAATAATGATATTAAATCTTGTTGTATCGTTGATTTCTAGCCTAAGATAAGATTTGTTATTAATTATGGTAGCATAGACATCATTAAATCATTATATATCTTGTTTATTTTCCAAAGTAACATTGACACATTTTGCTGTCATTAAGGATGAATGCTTTGTTTTGTAGCACTTTCAAAATGAAAATTAAAATCCAATGCTTATAGACTCCAAAATAAGTTCATCATGTTTTCCCATTATTTATCCCCAAAAGACCAAATAAACTGACAATCCATAAATCTGTACTTTTAGGGTCAGGCTGGATATGCAAAGGTTGTGAGATTTAAGTGTGCAATCGTTAGATAAAGCATTAATCTGTTGGATGAGAATAGGGAGTAGGTTACTGGCAATGAAACCCCTGGGGCTGCAGACTTTGATAAGCAGTCAGAGTAATCTTATTAGCTGCAGAACATGTCTGGACAAATTGCCCTTGCAAGGCAGATATGTTTTTTATGTACAGACACAGATGTGTCTGTACATATTGCCATCACCTGCGTCTGTCGTCGCCGTCGTCGCCGATGCCGATGCCGGCGCCGTGCACTTTCCTTGCTAACACGATAAGTGGAGGGCAGTTTTACTTTTTGGCTTTATATTTACAGAGCTGATGAATATTCATAAAACGCAGGTCAAGTTCGAAAATCAGCATGATCGGGCCATTATTGTAGAAGTTATGCTGTTTTTTCACTTTTCAGTATATATGCAACANCCGCAAATAGAAAATAGAATTTAGAAAATAGACATTGCATGTGAACGAAGCCTAATACTCTGTGTCTTATAAGTTTCAATAAATGTCAGTTTCGAATTTTGAGTTTTATGACATAGCCATTTGAAGCTAAAAAATACACAGTAAGAGAGGAATGCGACATGGGTTGTGTCAATCTTGCATCTATGGAGTTCAGTAAATGGCAAAACAGACACAGCCATGTCATTTTTTGGGCTTAAAGCTCTTTAGCAAAAGACGTATGCTGCATGGGCCTTGTTAATTTCGCTGTGTATAGGGCTTAATAACATACGAAAAAGGCACGGTGAATTTTGTTTTAGAATGTAAACGGGCGTCTAAAAGACATGCGCGCAGGCTCCTATTATATATGGGCCATGGTAGAATTTGATTTGTTAACCACTGCCGTTTTTAAAGAGATATGCCTGACTGCACCGTAACACATATTATTCTTTGCTGTACAAAAAAGCAGAACCATTACTGTGCAGGGGCAATGTGCCAATCGTGGAACCCCCTGTTGTTATTTTTAGGCTTATTATTTCCTTCTTACTGTCAGCATTACAACCCTCTGAGGATAGACCTATATTTCGGTGCACATACCTTGTAAACAGGGATTTACTGAAAGTAACACTGAAATGTTGTAAACTTTAGACCAGCAAGATTAATATTCCTTCTCACACTTAAGCAGCATGCATGGGAGAAGTAGGTGGCAAAGTATAATAGCTTGAGCCAAGCATGGAACACATTCTCTTATTAGGAGTCCTGGCAACTGAAACTGTTATAGGAAACCTACATTTTGGACAGTAACACGGAATAGAGATCTACAATATGGACAAAAGAGTTGGCATCACATCCACTGATTTTGGTACCACACATTCTGCATAAAAACTTTCCAATATTACAGCAGCTGCGAATTTTTAGATTTATTGGTAAAAGTATTAGTGGAAATGTTTTTTATCAAGCAGTATGGGAACTTTGTATGAAAAATTACTTTTATAGTCCATGAAGCTGGTGGAAAACTAGCAAACAGCTGAGGTACATTATTATTATTTTTTTGAGGGAAAAAAGGTTGAACTAGTTCCTACATGCACTGCATGGTAAATAATAGTAACATTCTGTCACAAAAAAAAAAAAAAAAAAGAACTGACACTCCATTTGGTTTCCACATACAACAAACATCTTGGAGGTGTGCTGTTAACAGCCTAAGCAGTTCTGAGAACCAGTTACCAGCTAGGACCATATGGGTTCTCATTGACCAGCAAGAGTTGAGAAACAGTCTTAGAGGAATAGGAAATAGAAGTAGAAGCTGCATATGGAAAAATAACTAAGCAGTACACTGGACTAGATTTAAGCAGCGCTGAACAGCTAAGGAAGGCATTGTTTCTCATAGTGACCTTTATGAAACTTCTGACTATTTCTTAATGCTGAAAAATATATTTGAGTTATGGCAGTGACTCGCAGGACTGTGATTGCCACGTTGATATGTTGCGCGGCAGTCCTAGGAGTGTACTTTCTATATTTTTACCATGGCTCGCCCGAAGACATTATGTCAAGGAATAGGAAACAACACAACAAAGCTGCAGTTTCACAGGGAAAGTTTTTACATAGAGCTGCTCTAAAAAGTGAACATCCTCAAGTTGAGGATGGGGGAGATGATGAAGATGAAGGGGAAGAAGAAGATGAAGATGACCCTGCAGTATCCTCTTACAAATTATGGGAACAATGGGTAGAGGAGAATGGCTACCTCTCTATTGGAGACATATATGATAAATGTGATGGTATGTATTACTGCATGTTAAATAAGTCTTGTTTTCTTCTTTTTTTACTTCTTTCCAGATATTTTAAGCTGACGGTGAAATTTATATGTGGCTTGTTATTCGTGGTTAGGAAGACAAGGGATGAATAAATAGAAAATTTGGCACATCATCTTTTTCTAGTATTTACAATTTTCTGAATTTACACATGAGTCTTTATATATTTTTTTCTTTAAAAACTACTTATTCAAATGCTGTTTTATAAAACCCTCCAGAATTGTTTTGGACACAAGCAACAAGTTGGTAACAAGCATGTGGCAGCAGCACCTGTTTTAAATGATCAGTATACTACGAGGGAACTAACTGTAACACAGCCATGGTTGTCAGCATAATTGCAAATATAAATAAATTCCATAGATTTAAAGATACTGGCATAACATGTCTTAAGAGCACAGTGGCAATAAAAAAGTTATGTATTTTTTTACAAAATACAGGAGGTGGCAACTTTGAAAGAGTCTTGTTCAAATTTGGGTTTTGTGATTTATTGTTACTGCAAGCTAGTAGAAAATACGTATCTACAGCCTTTTGCTGGGTAGGTTGTTTAAACCGGTCTTTAACTTTTAGAGTTAAGACTTAGCATGCATGTCTCAGTGACAATCCATATGGTTCACATAAATCTTTCTTAGTTTCAGAAACCTTTAACTCTAAATGGAAAGCAGCAGTGGTTGAAGTTGACAGTAAGGGGGGGGGGGGGG